CAGCAGTGACAGAGGACCAGCAGCAGCAGAGAACCTACAGCAGCAGAGAAGCAGCAGCGGCAGAGAACCAACAGCAGCAGAACCAGGAGACCAGTGCGAGATGGCGCTGGAGCCGACCCATGGAGCAAGACTACCTGTGTGCAGGAGGCTTCCTGGCGGAGTTGGGTGCCTCTGGGCACTTATCGGTGGAGCTAGGCTTGCTGACCCACAGAGCGAGAGAGCTGAGTGTCTGTGTGCACGAGGCTTTCTGGTGGAGTGGGGTGCCTCCAGGCACTTATACCGGTGGAGCTACAGAGCTTTGGAACACTTGCCCCAGCAGGGCAGATGCGGGCATGAGGCCCGAAGGCCAAGAGGCCACAGGAAACAGAAGCAGAAACTTAAGAGACAAGGGACACAAGAAGCTGCCTCAGTCTCAAAAGGTATGACCATGACCTCAGGGGTTTCAAAGGGTGCAGCAATGGCCTCTGGTGCTTCTAAGGGTGGAGTCGCCACTCAGATGGACTGGGAGAATGGTGTGCCTAAAGCCAAGAGAGCAGAGTTCCTGTCCCAGTGGGCCTGGAAGGAGGAGCTGAAGCCCAGGGCTGCTGGGCCTCCTCTCAGAATCCAGAGACTGTGGCCAATACCTAGAGTCTGGAGGGCAGGCTATTGTGTAAATTGTCTCAGAGAACAGAAGATTATTTTCAAAGCCTTGAGGGCTAATGTAATGTGTTCTGCTGACTTGCTTGGTGCCTGTTAAAATCACTTCTTTTCGTCTAGTTTCTCCCATTTGTAATGGTAATGTCTAGCTTGTGCCTGTTCTGCTATTGTACCTTTGGAAGCAGATAACTTGTATTCTAGACTTCACAGATGAAGAGGAGTTTTTGGATTTTGGACTTGGAATTAAGACTTTTGCTAAGATATGATGGGGGTGAATATGTTTTCCATGTTGCAAGGATGTGATTTTTTGGGGGACAAAGGGTGGAATGTCATGGTTTGAATTATGTCCCCCAAAAAACGTGTGTATCAATTTGGCTAGGCCATGATTCCTGGTACACTGTGATTTTCCTGTATGTTGTAAACCTGCCTCTATGATGTTAATGAGGGAGGATGGGTGGCAGTTGTGTTAGTAAGGCAGGACCTGATCTACAAGACTGGATTATGTCCTGAGGCAATCTCTTGAGATATAAAAGACAGAAGTGAGCAGTGACATAGGGGGACCTCATACCATCAAGAAAGCAGTGCCAGGAGCAGAGCGCGTCCTTTGGACTGGGGTCCCTGTGCCAAGAAGCTCCGAGTCCGGGGGAACATTGATGAGAAGGCTGACAGAAAAAGCCTTCCCCTGGAGCTGACACCCTGAATTTGGACTTTTAGCCTACTCTGACTGTGAGGAAATAAACTTCTCTTCGTTTAAAAAAAAAAAAAAAAAGGTTGAGAAGTTATAGGGTTGACATGTTGTGGGGTTGTTAACCAGTGTCATAAAACAATATGTGTACTACTGTTTCATGAGAAACTATTTGTTCCGTAAGCCTTCACCTAAAGTACAATAAAAAAACAATTGAAAAAAAAAGCTTTAAACACTTAAAAAAAAGAATAATCTTAGGTGAAGGGAAGGACAACACACACTACAAGAGAAGTCAGCACAAGTGGACTAAACCAAAGCTAAGAAGTTTCCTGAATACAACCAAACACTTTGAAGGACAGAGTAGCAGGGGTGGGGGTCTGGGGACCATGGTTTCAGGGCACATCTAGGTCAACTGGCCTAACAAAGTTTACTAAGAAAATGTTCTGCATCCCATTTTCGTGAGTTGCATCTGGAGTCTTAAAAGCTAGCTAGCGGCCATCTAAGATGCATCAACTGGTCTCAACTCACCTGGAGCAAAGGAGAATGAAGAACACCAAAGACACAAGGAAAATATTAGCCCAAGAGACAGAAAGGGCCACATAAACCAGAGACTCCATCGGCCTGAGACCAGAAGAACTAGATGGTGCCTGGCTACCACTAATGACCACCCTGACAGGGAATACAACAGAGAGTCCCTGATGGAGCAGGAGAAAAGTGGGGTGCAGAACTTAAATTCTAGTAAAAAGACCAGACTTAATTCTAGTAAAAAGTCTGACTGAGACTGGAGGGACCCTGGAAGACGTGGCCCAGGGACTCTCTGTTAGCCCAGAACTGAAACCATTCCTGAAGCCAACTCTTCAGACATAGATCAGACTGGACTATAAGACATAAAATGATACTCGTGAAGAGAGCGCTTCTTAGCTCAAGTAGATACATGAGACTAAATGGACAGCTCCTGTAAAGAGGTGAGATGAGAAGGCAAAAATGGACAGGAGTTGGTCTGAATGGACAAGGGAAATCCGGGGTGGAAAGGAGGCGTGTGCTGTCACATTACAGGGAGAGCAACTAGGGTCACATAACAATGTGTATAAATTTTTGTATGAGAAACTAACTTTAACAGTAAACTTTCACTTAAAGCACAATAAAAAAATAAATAAAAATAAAAACAAAACCTTCTCAGTATACATACAAAACACTTCAGACTTGCACTAAAGCCTAAGAACATCTTGTCTGCTTCTACTGGTCTCATTCCACAGCACCAGACCCCAAATCAACCTACATCAGACACTGAGGCCAGGACAAACCTCTCACCTAATCTCCTCTCACTGGTCCTGCTTTGGGGATGAAGGGTAGGGAAGGCAGGGTTTGGGGTGTGACAGGCTTGACTAGAACAAGAGCTGCTTTGCCCTCCAAGGTACAGTGTCTGAGTGTCTGTGCTCAACCACAAAGTTGACTAACTGACCCACTGAGATCTCAGGGGTAGGGAGAGAAGACTTTGGGGCAGCTTCAAGGGAAGTTCAAGCAGAGGAGTTTATGAGAGGCCCTTGAGAAACCAGAAGGCAGGGGAGGATGTCAATGGCATATCAGGCCCAAGGTTATGTGTAAAAATCAGTGCTCCACTCCAATTCTCCAGAGGCTCTAAGAGTCCACATCTGTCCCTTTTCACCCAGTTTCTTGCTCTCCCTCTCCACAGATACAGAGAGGGCTCTTTTGCTAAACCATAAACAGCAGCCCCGCTGCCTAGAGGGCTGGACAAGGGCTCAGTGTCAGACCCTTCAGCCTTGCTCTGCAATGAGGACCCAGGGCCTTGAAGGGCGCTGCTGACTCAGCCATAAGAACAGATGGAGGAGTGGGGACCACGGGACATTGACCTGCATCTGCTCCAGGCACTAGCCTGGTTAAAAAAGGTATAAGCTACATTACATAAAACCAGTGGATATAGCCCATATCTTCCTTTCCCCACCCCTAGTAACCCCTTCTAGTTTTAGTCCTCAAAAAACAAGGGCTCAGTTCTCGAGGAAGCTGAGGAAAGGTAGCCAAGGGTTCAATCTGCTGAACCCAGGACCTCGGTTCCTAAAACCTCTCTCTGCCTAACGTCATCAGCTCCCACCTGACTTCCTTGGTGCTTCATCACGCCTCTGTGGCAGCAACTACCCATAGGCAATCCCAGCAGGAGCGATACTGCTACCAGAAAGTTGGCTGGCACAGCAAATGCTGCCGTTGCCAGCACAGCAGCAATGGGGGCAGTGAGGACATGGTGATAAATATCGGCAAGGAGCTGATGAAACTACACTATGGCAGCTGCCAGGACTTGCCATTCACCTTGCACAGTGCAGAATGCAAACAGCCTACCCGTGAGAACGGGCCCAGATGTCAGCATAGTGGGGCTCTGGCAAGGACAGCTGGGATTGGGAGGGGGTAGAGGGAGGAGGGCAGGTCCAGGCTCTGGAGTCAAACTACCACAGTAGCTGAATGACACAGGACAAGTTGCCTAAACTCTCTGAGCCTCAGTGTTTTCATCTGAAAATAAAGATACTAGACCGTATTATTATGAGGATTGAACAAGATTATACATATCAAGCACTAGCACAGTACCTGCATATGGTAAACACGCCGTAACTGCTAGCTATTTTCATTATTAGGTTCACGAAAGGGTCAGAAAGTGGTTCCTTCTGAGGATGTCCCATTTAAAAACCAGGCCAGGCCCAGACCGTTTCTTAGCACAGGTTCCTTTGACAACAGAACACTCCTGCCCTACACCGGTGCTCAGGACTCTCCCGTGAACAGTATTTCAGCAGCACTAAGCCGAGCAGCAGAGCCCGAAATAGCATTTGCAGAGCGAGGCACATGTTACTGCCTCTCCTGTGCTTCAGAAGTGCAAGAAAACAAAGTTTTCAGTCACTTGCTCAGAAAGCACGGCCACCTACCACCTGCCTTTCTTCCAGGGCACTCAGATGCTGCAATCTCTGTTCTGCTGGAAAATGAAGGTCCCTGAGCCCTACAGCAGCGCTACAGCCACTGCTCTGACCAACCACACTATTCCCCTCCAGCAAGCCAGAGAGTGTCAGCGTCTTCAAACCAGCCCTGTGGGGACAAAGGACATATGCAGGTTGAATTCAGAGTGTGTTTAATGGGGACAGGGCTAGGACTGGTACCTGGCTGAAGAGCCTGCCACTCATGGGTTGGGTGAAACACCTCCAGAACCTTGGTATCCAGCTCCTCCTTTGCTTTGGTTTTTCTCTCTGTTTCTTTGGTGGTACTCTTCTCTGGGTTGGTTAGTGCAAACTCCTTCTAAGAAAAGAAAACAGAGGGCATGACCCACCACAGCTGGGCACCAGGCAAGTAGAAAGAAGATAACCTAGGGTGGCACACTTTTCCCTCCATGCTCCTCCTCCCCTCCCCAGGCATGTTTGGACACCTGCAATTTCTTTCACAAGGTTAACCTCAGAACCAACATGTGTGAGGGAATATGGTTAAATGAACACAGCACGCCATTTTGTGTATATAGTACTTTTGTATATGCATAGGGAAAACAGCCCAGAAGGTTCCACACTATCTTGAGGGGGGGTCAAGGGAACATACTACAGAGAGGGGTTGGCAAAAGGAGACAGTTGGGGCCTTTAACTTTTTATCTGATATGCTACTATACTGTTTGCTGTTTAAAGTTTATCTTTACTTTTACAATAAAAAGTAAAGATATTTATAACGGAAAAAACATACATCTGAACGGGAGAGTAAATCTTCAAATGGCCACCACAGATGTGCAAAAGCTGGCAGCTAAGGCCCAACTGATTCCCAAGAAGCTCAGCAGGGAACAGTAAGGGCTTTGGCAATTCCCCAGGGGGCCTATAGGGCATAAATGACCTCTTGGAATATTCCAATCCATGGAGGAAGGGGCGCCAGTGGAAAGGTGAGAGCCCAGCTGGGCTGAAGGAGGAAGATGCCCACGTTGGAAACTGCTTCCTAAACCAGCTTCCTTCCACCCTGTGGAGAGCATGGAGGATTAATGAGATGGTGTCTGTGGAGCACTTGGAGCTCAGGAGACAGAGATGCAAGATAAATACAAAGTATTGTTCATTTTGCTCCTTCCCAGGTTCCCAAACTTCCTGTCACATTTTTAAACCTGTTCTTGCATAAAAGCACTAAGGCCCCAGGAAACTGGAACTAGAGGGTTCCAGAGCTCTGGGAAACTAGAGCAAAGAGGAACCCACACTAGCACACCAGGAGGTTATTTCAGCCCTCCCACCTACCCTGTCATCACTTTTCCTCCACCTCCCAACTCTTCCCCTAATAATAACAAATATATTTTTTGAATTCATACTATGAACCCAAACCTGTGCTATGTACTTTACATAGATCTCACACTTTGGTTTCCCAACAATTCTAACATTGCATGGGAGGTAATAATGCATCTCTTCTGAGCAGTGTCCCAGCTCCAGATAGGTACCCCCACCTGCTGGGGTCCCTCAGGTTCTGATCTTTAATTAGCTATCAGAAGAAAGGTTAAGGTGTTAAGCTGTTGGTGATGACAATGTAAAGCCCCTTCATGGATTTTTGCATTTTAACAAGAAATAAAGGCATGAAATTCAGGTGGCAGAATTTCAGACCTCGCTAAGGACCAGTAAGGACAGTATCTTGGGCAAGTAGAGGCCCTCAAATCATGTCACATGTAATGAGAGGCACTGACTACAGCACAGTGTTTAAGAACTCAAACTCTGCATCAGATAACCCAAAATTTGAATCTCAGTTTCTTGTGATACTGAGAAAATTACTTAACTTTCTAAGCCTCAGTTTCCACATTTATTAAGTAGAAATAATAACAGTATCTAGCTCATTCATTAGATGAGGTTCTACAATGTAGAACACCAGCCCTAGGTCCATGGTAGCTACTACTATTATTACTTGCGAAGGTAGTCATATGTTCCAGGTCAGATGAGTCCATGCTGTGACATCCAACAGTGACCATAGAAAATGGCATCGTTCAGGCAGGTTCAGGTTGGGGTGGTGGCCACCAGTGCAGCTTGATTCCTCAAACCTTTCCCACCTCTTCAACTTGAAATCTGTACAAATCTGAGCTCAAAAGAAACCTTGGAACAGGTGTACTCATGAGCCTGAAGAGAAGACAGACTGGCAGGAGGCATCCTACATTCTGAGGACATGGATGTCAAGGACTTCCAACATCTGAGTTCCTGAGGACAGCCACTGTATTAGTCTCCTTCACCACTGTATACTTCATGCATGGGATAGGGCTTAGTTTGTAATTGCTGAACAAATGTGTGAACGAACGTTCCCTCCCATAGGCTTGTCTTCTGGGTGCCTTAGACTGAGGCAAGATCAAGGTACCAAGTCTGCTGGAGGCTAGGCACTAGCCCACATCCCACAACAAAGACCACCCTGTAGGCTAAGTACCCGGAGTTTATGTATTACAGGGCCATTAATGCTGGTCAGCCCCTGCTAGAAGCACCACCACACTCAAGACCATGGGACTAAGAGAACGTTAATAAAATTTGCCTTAGAGGTGTGTCAATCAAGTGCCTTCAGGGGCCAGGCAGGGATGGATACAAATGAGTAAAGTGGGCCAGGTGGAAAACAACAGGGAGTAGTGGGGACTAGGGGAACCGGAGCCCTCCTGCCTTGACTAAGGAAAGCAGCTGCTACTCAGCTGGCCCACCACTGCCACGCAGACATTCAATTTTAAGAAAACAAAAATCCAGATTTTTATGTGAAATTTTCTTATTTTTAGAACACTAAAAGGGCCGAACTAAATATATTTAACTTCAAATTGCAACTCTTGCTTTAGCCAGGTAACTCCTGGAGGGTGCAACTATGTGCAAGCACTCAAATTCTCATCATCAAGAGAAGCAGAAAGAGACAAAGGGAATAGAGATGATGAGAATATGGCAGGAAGCCCTTCAAAATCTAGGCAAAGGTTAGCGTTCATTTTGACAACTGGAGGCTGGAAACGCATTTTTTCTAGATGCCTGTAACAAGGTTAACAGGATAGATTAAAGAGGAAGGATTAGAACGATGAGACTAATGGACCACTGAGGCTTCAAGCCCTAGGGGGACAAACATTTGCAACAATCCTGTCACTGCTCAAAATGTTTTTTGAACTTCTTCCCGGTATCATCTTTGAATTAGATTTTAAGCCACCGAAAAAAAAAAAAGCCATTATTTTACAGTAAACCAGATGCCGTGAAGTCAATTCCAACTCATGGTGATTCCATGTGTGTCAGAGCAGAGCAGAACTGTGCTCCATAAGGCTTTCTTTCAATGGCTGATTTTTCAGAAGTAGATTACTTAAGCCTTTCTTCCAAGGCACCAGTGGGTGGACTCAAATCTCCAACCTTTTGGTTAGTATGTGTGACACAAATTCCATGCTCCCCTGTCTACCCAGCCTGCCCTATTCATCAGACCTGGCTATGAGTGTCCTTAGACCACCCAAATTACATTCGGCCAGTCACATGAATGTATCACAGGCTAGAAAGTTTACCATTTATTAAGCCCTTACTAGATACCAGGTGGAACCCTGGTGGCGCAGTGCTTAAGAGTTTGGCTGCTAACCAAAAGGTCAGCAGTTCAAATCCATCAGCCACTCCTTGGAAACCCTATGAGACAGTTCTACTCTATCCTATAGGGTCGCTATGAGTCAGAATCAACTCAACGGCAATGGGTTTTTTGTTTTGTTTTGTTTTATATACCAGACACTAGGCTAAAGTGCCTCCCATGCCTCAACTCATCCTAGTCTCACCTCTGAAGTATGTACTCTTATCATTCCCATTTTACCAATGAGGACGGATACTGGGCCTGTTCAAAACCACACTGCTAGGAATAGCACCAGAGATTTCAGTCCAGGCCTGCTGGACTCCAAAGTCCATGTATGAATTCTGACTCACTTTCGTGTTTCTGTTTTTGAGCATATGGACTAATGGCTGTGCCTGGACGCTGAGGGAATGAAGCTGGGGCAACGAGATCACCTTAACACACTTAGCAGCACATCTCCCTGTCCAAGCAAAGACTTCAATAGGAAGTTGAAAAACCATAGTCCCAGAGAAGGGACAAAGAAGACCAGCCTCTGGACAATGTCCTGAACAGGAGGGCAAGACGAAGAAGTGAGAGAGGCAGGCCAGCCTTTGGTCAGCTCTGAAGTAAATCCCATATTCTGGCGCCTTCCCAGCTGGCTTTGAGAAGGGCTCCCTCCTATCCTGGATCCCCAGCAGTTTCTTTTTCCTACCATCATCACTCTAAGTACCAGTTTCCTCTCAACTGACTGGCAAGAAATCTCAGCTAAGGTGTTAGCTGACAACAGCTTACCACATCACACTTCCTTGCGCATGTATCTGAATAAAAGATTCTTAAAGATCAAAGCTTTCAAGATCCAAAAGAATGAATGAAATCTCTAATAGTGGGCTGATAGAGACATACTGCAGAGGGTCCCCTGCCTGACACCACCCCAAAATAAACCAAAGAAGCAGTCATCTCTTTATTAAAAATAATAGCTGACATTTATTGACCATACATTGACCATATTGTGCTAGTCCCAATTTTAGGTGCTCACGTATATAATCACATTTAATCTACACTAAAATGTTAAGAGGTTAAGTACCAACCCTGCTTTACAGATGCGGAAACAAAGCTCAGATATGGTTAATATCTTGCCAAACAGGTGGCAAAATGGGTTTACGTGGGGCTTGTGCTCCATCCAGTGAGAAGGTTCCACTCCGTCCCTCCTCACTTCCCACCTCTTTGAAGGCTAGTACCATACAACCTCAGCTCTGCAGCCAGTACCAGACAATACTCACTCCTCCTAAGACACAGCATCCCAAGGAGGGGAAGATAGCTCTAGATAGTACCCTGACAGGCATAGCCAACCTTTCCTGGGTGGCCATCAACCTACACAAATGCCTTAGGAGAGGACAATTCTGGGTCACCAGGAGTATTTGCCTGGACTCCAGGCTCTGAAGAATGGATCACAAGCCTCCTTCCTACCCCTACACGTTTTCCCTGTTGTGAAGGTGGCCGGCTGCATAATTTGGATTTTAAATGCCATCAGGGCAGCAATTTTTATGGCATGAGAGAAAAGATGCTTCCACTCCTACTTGTGCTCAGCACATGATGAAAGATTATGACAAATGGACACAGCTTAGGAACAGACATAAGGATAAACGCAGCTTCTGTTGATGAAAGTCAGTATTAACATTTTTTCTGCAACTAGACTCAACAGAGCTAATATAAATGGGCCAGAATAATTATGGTTCTGAAAGCTCATCTATTTAGTTGGACTATTACCCAAAAGGGACTTACTAACACACAGTCCTTAAGTAAATTCATCAGCACGCTTTTGTTAATTGTGCATCTGCTAAAGCTCATGATAGGGAGCACAGAGTTCCTCATGAGCTGGAGGTTGGGGAGGGGACACAGCTCTGACCCTCCCGTGAGACTCTTGGGTGCTTTTCTGGGTCATTCCACAGCTAGGCCATGCCAAAGACTGTCTCAACCTCATGCTGTGACCAGTCCCACCCTTGGAGGCCACCAGGATCCCATTCTCAGTGCCCTTGGAGAAGAGGCAAAAAAAGGGCATCAACAGGATCTTAGTCAGAGAACATTAAAAGCTCAAAAAGGATTCGTGACTCCCAACTGTACATTCTCTCCTGCTCCACAAAGTGGGGAAGAAAGGCAGAAAGAAAACAAATGACTTCAGAGCGAAGGTGGAAGCTTGCCACAAGCCAGAGGTGAACCTCGGCTGAGCTAGACTGTTATTAAATTCATCACAATTGTCATTTGCACTTCAAGGGCCTCCTGCTCCAAAGCCTCCGGTGCTTTATACATTTAGCGGGAGCCCCGGAGGTTGCGGAAGGTGGTTGGGGGAGGGTGGCACTGTCAGAGAGCTGACTGTCAGGACTTCTCAAGGGAGGGGAAAGGGAGGGCATGGAGCTGGTCAAGGGCAGGCTGTTGCTGGAACAAGCTGGCGCAACAGGTCTAGGAGCCTAGGTCAAGCATAGGGCATTCTAGCGTGTTATGCTCCTGCCCAGGGCAATTACAAAAGCCCTGAGTGATGAGGTCTGAGTTATTGAGTGATGAGGTCTGAGTTAATGAAGAGAAGCCTCGAGAGAACAGGCAGAAAAGGACAGAGGGAGGGAGGAGACAGAGATACAGATTGAGGAAGTACAGGAAGAGGGGAGCAGAAGAAGAAGCAGAGTGTTGCTTGGGATTAGTGTTCACCACACAGGCACTCAGCTTCTATGGAGAATCCTGACCTCCCAGCTGCGCCACAAACTGGCTGTGTGATTTTGGCCGAGTTACTTAATGTCTCTGAGTCTTAGTGTCTTCCTTCCGAAAATGAGCATAATAATTGTAGCTGCCTACTTCATAGGGTTGTTGGGAGGATTAAATGAGAATATATATAAAGTACTTAATACAGTGCTTGGTACATGGTAAGCTGATGATGATGATGATAAACTGTGCCAGAAAATTTTGCCACATTCCCAGCACTGGCCATATTTCTATAAGAAGGAAAAATAAATGCCTACCCCACTCCCACAGCAACCCTGGTGACACCGAGGCTTTCTCTGACCCCATTAGGAAACCCTCCCACTTACAATATGATACTTACCGAGTTTTGATGGCTACTGCAGAAGGTAAAGCAGGAGACCATGAGCAACCCGAGTAGCATGCCCCGAAGAGCCATCCTAGAAGGCAGCAGTCCCTGGGGAGCCATAGTCAGAGACCTGAGGAGTGCAAACATAGAAAATAGAAGGTCATTGGGAAGCTGGTGCCTGGTCCCGCAGCATCATGATTCTCATGATGTCACGCATTTGACAGACTTAAGACGTTTTCTGCATAGAGGTATCATGGGCCTTCTACCACAGGGTAGAAAAATCTGAAGTAAGCCTCCACTTTCCATGAGTACTCCAGCCACCTGAAGGTAGATATGCCCTGGCTGGAACTGTACAGCCAACCAGAACTGTGAGCTATAATAGCCCAGGTCCCTTCCTTCCTCACTATCAACTTGTTGCGTTGTGGAGAGTGGTGTTAGCTATGTTGGGGAGAGAGGGAAACTGACCAATTGATCAGCGTGTGAATAGACATGGGCCCAAATCCACATAAGCCTTTATAACCACCCATTTTTAAACCATACCCACTGTCATGCTTGAAGATAGATGCCATTAGCGTCCCCTAAACCAGCAAAGTTCAATACTCCCAAGCCACAAAGCCTTTCACATCACCTTTCAGTCTGTCACATGTATCTGGAACCATGCCAGAAGTTTCTGGGAGGGGGAGATAATTTTAGTAAGCATTCCCTGAGAATGATGCCAAACCATGGGTCCAGAAAAGACTCTACTTGCCCTAGTTGCTTTGAAAACCAAAGTGCAACCCTAGTAGCTGTTAAAACCTTTTAACACCTAGTAGTGCTAAATGCCACAAGGATGCTTTGTTTAAGTAACTGCTCATTAAAGCAACTGCAAAGACTCAAAGAACCACTAAATTTAATTTGCTATGAGTTTTATAATCTATGCTAAAGATCACATGGTATTTATTCTGTATTCAGAATCTTACAAAGACCTAAAATGCAGCATTCTTCTGGCCTGGTGTAAAATGGTAGGAGTAGTAGCATCAGAACCTGTCTAACTTCAGGGGAGACAATGCAAATCAAGATAAGCCCAAAGCTGATCCCTATGAGGTGGAAGTCAGACATACCTCCACCCTCCAACCTTTTAACCAATTCTGACACCAGCTGTCCTCCCACGGTATTCTCTATTTCTCTTCTGGGTTTAATAATCTGTTGCAGTGGCCACACAGAACTCACAGACTATAAGTAACAGGGTACAACTTGAGATCAGGATCAACAGGCTACAACTCAGGATCAGGATCAGGAAGCACATAGGCAAAGTCTCCCTTCTTCAGTGCAGGACAGCTCTCTAGGCTCGTCTTGGTTATGCAGGCCTCCTCTTGGCCCACTGAGGACAGGCTCCTCTTGGCCCCAAAAACAGGCTCCTCTTGGCCCTGCTGTCTGCCACCACCAGCTCTCCATAGGGTCCCTTCCAGACCTGTTGCTGATGGCTCTGCCACTAGGCCCATTCCGGGCCTGTCACCACCTTCAATTTGCAACTCTTTTAGGAAGTTCCTTGCCTCCTCTCTCTGCTTCTCTTCTTTCTTCTTTCTGTCTCTAAAACCTCTGTGAGGTTGGCTGCTTATATCTACAAACTTCTCATCAATTTCAAGGCATGGCCCTCCCACCAGGGCCAGGAACTGAACAATCCCCTCTTGGTAGGCCACAGACATTTCATTTGCATACCAGGCTACAGACATTTCATTTGCATATTCCATAGTCACTTCATCTGCATAGTCTATTGACCAATCTCTACAAGGTGCATATGAATCACACGGCAGGCTGCAGCCCAGGGCCAGGCAAAAAGTATCAAACCATCCTTGTTTACAGCTTACCCAGGAAATGTCAATCAACCTGGACAAAAGTAACAAACCCTCTGGGGTAGGGGCAAAGGTAAGTCCTCAAGGCTTAGGGGAAAAATCTCTCAAACTATTTTTCCAAAGAACCAAGGCAAAAAGGACACATAAAGGAACTCATTTCACCACACCAGGGAACCTGAATGTGTAAGTGAATTTAGGGCAGGAGGGAAGGGACTCAAGGGGAGGAAGGAACAAGGTATAATGGAAGTCACCTAGGCCAGGAGTTAGGACACTTCAGCCATAGTTCCAATTTTTCCAGTGTGCTAGGGTATGATCTTGGCCTAGGCACATCATAGCTCTGAGGGGCAGTGACAGCAGCATCGTTAAAAGCATGGGTTTTAAAATCAGACTTACATTTGAGTCCCAGCTTCATCAATGTCTAGGTGGGTGGCACTGAGCAAGTTATTAACCTCTCTATGTCTCAGTTTCTTCACCTGTTAAAAAAAAATGGAGGGAGGGGCACCTCTTTTAGGGGTATGAGGATTACATGATAATGCTTATAAGTCCCATGCAAGGTATAGAATAATATCTGCCACTTACTAAGGGCTCATCGTCTCCACAGTTTCATCATCCACAAAACAAGGATTTCAATACCTAAAGACTGACCTCATAGAGCCATTGTCAAGCACAAACATGATCACACTGCTGAAAGCACAAAGCCCTACACACAAACAACAGTTCCGTCTCACCATCATCATTACTGTCATATGGTAGCTACAGTTTCGGAGAGCTTGGCCCCATCCACATTTCACCCTATATTTCAAAAACAGCACTATGATTCTCATCAGAATGAGAAAGAGTTGGAAATACTAACCCAGAGCAAGAGCAAATGACCATCTCCAGGGTTTTGGTGGTGACATAATTAGTAAGCCCAAGAGTCAAGACAGGTCCGAAAGGAAAAGAAACAGCTCCCGCCTCTACAGGATGCCCCAATACATGAAAAAATGCAAGCAAGTTCAAATTTAGCTCAAAAGGCCTAGGAGATCACAAGAGCTAGGAGTGGAGAGGATGGCCTATGCCAAACCAGGAGGGGCTCATATTACCCCTGGGGAGTAGGCCCAGTTTCCCAGCCCCCATGGGTGGCTCCCTTTGCCTCAGTTCAACTCCAGTCTCCTCAGGCACAGCTAACCAGAGGGCCCCTCCTCAGGAAACACTTGGCTCAGTCCCAGGAGAGCCTGGATGATCCAGTTCACCTTGGGACTGCAACTACCGCTATGTCCATCTCAATTTATTTGGCACATTCACTAGACATTCGTTGACTATCTACTATGGTCAGACACCAGGTGAACAAAACAGACACAGTCCCTGCCATCATGAGGCTCACAGTCTAGCTGGGGAGACAGACACAAATAAATACATAAATCACAATTTGTGGTGAGCACAGTCATGGAAAGGAACAGGGTACAGAGAAGGAGAATAAGGGTAAACGAGGCAGGAAAAGAAGAGATGAATATCGACTGGACCTGAAGGGTAAGAAGGGCCAACCGTAAGAAAAGCAAGGGAAAGCATATCCCACACAGAGGGAACAATGCGTGGAAAGGCTCTGAAACGAGATGAAGTATTAAATTCTTGAGAAATTGAAAATAAATAAAAGACTTGCTGGCTGCAGCACAGTGGGATGAGGTAAGATTGGAGGAGTAGAAAGGGGCTTGTAGGCATAAGGAGTCTACATTTTATTCGTAAGGCCATGGGAAGCCAATGGAAGATTTTAGGCAGGGGAGTCCTATGATGTCACTGAGGTTCCTCAAAGATACCCGCCTCACTACCCGTCAGAGCCCTCTCCTGCCCAATAGCTCATGCCACACCTCTCTCTACTTGCCCAGTCAGGAGCTGCTTTTCAGCAGACTGTACCCCAAAAATGGCTCTCTATTTAGTCAATAAACTGGAGTGGATGTCAAATGAACTTAATCCAAATTGGCAAATGCTCTAGAAAAGTAGAAAGAAAAACAAAATAAAACAAAAAAATTAGAATGTTTCTTAGCCCCCACCAAAAAAAAAAAAAACAACCAAACTCGTTGCTGTTGAGTCGATTCCGACTTATGGCAACCCCATGTGTACATAATAGAACTGCTCGTAGAGTTTTCTTGGCTGTTATCATTACAAAAGCAGATCGCCAGGCCCTTCTTCTGTAGTGCCGCTACATGAACTGGAACCACCAACCTTTTGGTTAGTAATAGAGCACAAACCATTTCTGCTATCCTTATGAAAGGTCTGTGCGTTTATCCCTCGGTCCCGATACACCTCATTAGGGTGGTTTACTCAATACAGGCTTAACTGAATTAATTATGGGAGAACATTTCTGAAGACTGTGGTGTTTATGTTTTCTCAGTCTCAACCCTGCCACATTCCTCTCTATTCTACCTCCAGAAACTGGTCCCATGACATGACTGCAATGGGATCGAAAGCCCTGCCTGAACCGCTCTCATGGGTTATTACCCTTCCTGTCTAGCCCACAAGGCAGACAGAAACTTTCCCTAAGGACATCTGCAGCCATGAAGGAAAACAGCCCTGCTGGACTGACACTGAGCTAAAAAAGCACAGCCAAACGCAAAAGCAAAGGCTTGGGTGCTAAAAATAGCTGGTATACTCACCCAGCAGCAAAAGCTTTTGCTTTCTGCCAGTTTCCCCCCTTTCTTTCTGTCGACAAAATGGAACGGCTGGGTGCCACACAAACTTCCCCCAGCAACCTGGCTCCCTGGGGCACCAATCGCACTGAAAGAGAGGGAGTAAGTTCACACTAGGTGTTGCAGGCAAGTGTCTGGGCATGTCTGGGTATGAGAGGGAGAGGGGCCAGGCTGGGTGAGGAAGAACAAAGGGCAGGAGCTGCCATACAGTAAGAGAGAAGGTTTGGGAGGCCCAAGGAGAGGGGTCTCAAGAGAGCACACATAGCCTTGGAGTGTCCTATCATGCTCTATATCTTTCTAAACCCTGCAGCCCTGGCTGTGAGAAAAACGGAATAAAGGATGGAACTGACGGGCTCACAGCATTATTAGGACAACATACTATAAGAGAGAACCAAGATTATCCCAAAAGCCACCATTTCCCTTGTCTTACATGAGAGTGTATATGCATATAGACGCACACAGAGTTAGATGCTCCCTTCTCACAGTCAGGCATGAATGGTGAAACTGGTGCTAGGGAAAAAGATGAAGAGGAAGAGATAAATAAGAAGGAAGAAGTCAAGGGCAAAGAAGACAAATGAGCAGGAGGAGGCGACCCAGAAGGGAGTGAGGAAGAAGAGGTCAGGGGCAGCTAATGCACAAACAGCAGCTTCCCCAGGTTCCGGGAGTGGGAAGGGCGTGGGGTGGGTGGTGGCAACTCTCACAGGGCTCCCAGCTGCCTCCATCTCTTGCATACACACTAACATCCTCAGAAGCACTTTCTGCCAACACTAAGGAAGAGAGATCGATTTGCAAGTGGATCCTTCATCTCCACCCAGTAATTCCACATGGACTGCACATCTGACCTATTTATTACCTCTATACATTTTTCCAAGAAACCAGGAGAGAGAGGGGGAAGCTGAGCACATGGGGTACAGGTGCGATGGAGACTGGGGAGAGGCCTAGGAGAAGTGAGGATGGGAGAAAGGTGAGAAACTGTTTCCTAGGGTTGGCACAGGCACCTAGGGAACGAGAGCAAACTCTGTGGCATGCAGGTGTGGGTATCAGTGTCCTCTTAAGGCCTGGCCTGCAGCCATGTCACCTAGTCTTGGTCCTCATTCAAAGACTGGTAGGTGGAAAGCAAGCAGGCATAGTTTTCCCTGCACTTCATGATGAAGGTGGGGGACAGGAGGAAGGGGGAAGTGGCACATAGTTATTCCTGCCAGGATGGCTACCGTCGCAGACAGGGACCTAGGTGGCAGCAGCAGTGAGAGGGAACATCAGTCTCTGACATAAGTAAAGCCAAAATCATGATTTCCCATTGAGGCACAGTTTAGCACATTTCACCTGAGGGCAGTGCCCTCCCCAAACCACTTGCCATCCACTAACCCTGGATTCACCTGATCACCTGCCTGCACACCCTGCAAAACAAACCTTCCCGTCATCCTTTGTTTTCAATGGAAGACAGACCTGCATCTTTACATTTATGGCCTTCTTCTGACTTAAAACACCATCCCTCAGTGCAGGAAAGGGGAACGCATTTCAATGTATCACCGGTAAGTCTTTTCTTAAGTATACTTGGGCTTTGGGACAAAAGAGATAATAAGTTACTTGAGATGCCCATTTTTCTATCAAAACTGGCCATTTGTAGGCTGTACCTCTACTTAAATAGATGTTGGATGTTCTCAGCAATCTGTATTGCCAGCTTACTGCAGCCCAGAGCAGATGCTTGGGGAGCGTGTGGGAGGAGGCCTGCAGACTGTCTAGCCCTTGTCCCCCTTGTCCCTCATGTGCTCCACTCAATTCCAGACAAGACTGGGGGAGGGGATGAGGCACTATGTAAACAAGACATTCTCCTGTAACTTTTGTCTTCTCTAGAGGCAGAAAAACAAAAAAAATTGGATGAGGATGGCAAGAAGCCAAGAGAGGGAGGTAGAGTGGACTGCTGGGTCTCTGGCAGCTTCTGACATGGCTGGCAGGCCCTGTGGATAGAGGCTGCCTGTCCTCAAGCTTCAGGATCAGAATACAGGGAGAAAAGAAAAAGGTGACAAGCGTCTTGGGCAGGCAGAGCCACCTCAGCAGCCTACCTCAGACTCCTTGCAGCTCCATTTCATAAAATGTCCATGTTCTTAATCTACGCTGCATGTCCATGCATTTGTTTTCCCAAATCATCTTGAAAAAATGAAAAGGTGAGAATTCCTACTTCCATTTTATAGGAGAAAACTGGCACAAAGAGACAAAAACATTTGGTAGAAGTACAGCATATGGACCTTAGTGTCCAACAGACCTAAGGCTAATTCTTGGCTCTGCCAATTCTTAGGTATACGATTTTGGACACAATTTCACTATGCCTCAGTCTCTTCATCTGCAAATTGGGGGATAATAAGGATTCCTACTTCAAAAGGTAGTACGAAAAAAAAAAAAGCCAAACCCATTGTTGTAGAGTCGATTCCAACTCATGTGACCCCATGTGCTTCAGAGTAGAACTGTGCTTCATAGGGTTTTCAAGGCCGTAATCTTTACAAAAGCAGATTGTCAGGCCTTTCTTCTGTGGTGCCAAGGGGTGGGTTCAAACTACCAACCTTTTGGTTAACAGCCCAGCACAAACCATTTGTGCCACACCCAGGGAGCTTTTCAAAGGATGGTAAACCAAAAACAAACCAGTTGCCATCAAGTCAATTCTGACTCATGGTGACCACGTGTGCGCAGAGTAGAACTGCACTCCAAAGGGTTTTCCAGGCCGTGATCCTTCAAAAGCAGATTGCCAGGTCTTTCTTGCGAGGCACCTCTGGGTGGGTTCAAACTGCCAACCTTTCCGTTAGTAGTCAAAGAGCAAGGCCAAGCACCCTGGGGCCACTCTTCAGAACTCCTGCGTCCTGCAAGATCCACACACTCTCCAGCTGACTACAGGCCTCAAATTTGAGGACCAAAGCCTTTTGCTGGGTAGTTACTATCAGGAGGTGAAAGAAAAAGATGTTAAAAGAAGACCCTCATAACTGAAAATGGAGAGACCAAGCCAGTTTTCTGCTGAGTCCCAAGGCAGACCCAAGCCATCTAATGCTTCCCCCTCATCCTCACGCCCAGAAAGCCAGGCCACCAGCACACAGAACTGCCAGCAGCAGGACCAGCTGTAAGACAATGCCCTGCTTTACAAACTAAAGGTTAGGGGATGAGCTCTTCCCACAGACACACATTCATTACTATTTATGGGCTGCACAAACTCATACACACATACACAGTCACTCATCTCTTCACAAACAGAAGCTCACTGCCTACCCTGAGCAAATAAATACGAAGCTGAAGAAATAATGCAAAGAGGACACTGAAAGGATAGCCCTGACAAGGGAGAACAATGTGCAAAGGCTTAAGGAAAGAATGGATTTAAAGAATGATTTGAAGGACAAGAGAAACAAGTTTGGAACAGTCAGGCTTTTTTTTTTCCCAAGAGACAAAAACTAAACAGAAAGTCAGGAGGTAGACAACAATTATGTGGACAGAGCACTTGAAAAACACCACCACCACCAACAAAACTGTGGCTTCTAAACCCAGTCCAGCCCCTAACTGTCTAGGAGGCTAGACTTGGAACATCCAGAGTCACTGGCCATTTGTGCAATGGGGACAGTATTCGCCCCAAGTATTGAAGTCACGCCTGTTGTTGTTGTTGTTAGATGCCATCAAGTCAGTTCTGATTCATAGTGACCCTATGTACAACAGAACAAAACACTGCCATCCTCACTATGTTTGAGCCCACTGTTGAAGCTACTGTGTCAATCTATCTTGTTGAGGGTCTTCCTCTTTTTCACTGACCCTCTACCAAGTGTCTTACTTATCTAGTGCTGCTATAACAGAAATACCACAAGTGGATGGCTTTAACAAAGAGAAATTTATTCAGGGTGTCAGCTCCAGGGGAAGGCTTTCTCTCTCTGTTGGCTCTGGGGGAAGGTCCTTATCATCTTCCCCGGTTGAGGAGCTTCTCAGAGCAGGGATCCTGGGTCTAAAGGATGCACTATTCTCCTAGCTCTTGTTTCTTAGTGGTATGAGGTCCCCCCGTCTCTGCTAGCTTCTCTCTTTTATATCTCAAAAGAGATTGATTTAAGACGCAACCTAATCTTGTAGATTGAGTCCTGCCTCATTAACATAACTGCCTCTTATCCTGCCTCATTAACACCATAGAGGTTAGGATTTACAACACATAAAAAATCACATCAGATGACAAAATGGTGGACAGTCACACAATCCGAGGAATCATGGCCTAGCCAAGTTGACAGATATTTCTGGGGGACACAATTCAATCCATGACGCCAAGCATGATGTCCTTCTCTAGGGACTGATGCCTCCTGATAACATGTCCAATGTAAATGAGACAGTCTCACCATCCTCGCTTCTATGGAGCATTCTGGCTGTACTTCTTCCAAGACAGATTTGTTTGTTCTTCTGGCAGTCCATGGTATATTCAATATTCTTTGCCAATACCATTATTCAAACGCATCAATTCTTCTTCCATCTTCCTTATTCATTGTCCAGCTCTTGCATGCATATGAGGTGAATGAAAATACTACGGCTTGGGTCAGGTCCATCTTAGTCCTCAAAGTGACATCTCTGCCTTTTTTAACAGTTGACAACTTCAATATTTTCATTTACCATGATGTCATTTTTTGGTCCAGTTGTAAGAATAGCAGCGAAAGTCATGCATAGAGCCAAACAAATAGGGGCTGCACTCAACAAACCTAAGGCACTCAAGGAGGAAAGTGATTAGGGAAGACTACTGGAGAGCAGAAGGTTCACAATGGACCTAAGCCTCTCTCAGGCTTAGAGAGAGCTACAAAGCCAAAATCCACTCATGCAGCCTGCAAGGGAGAGCCCAAGGGAGGCCCTTCCAGTGGCAGTACAGGGATAGGTGCTGGCCCTGCCTTAGGACACACTGAGCCAAGAAGAGCTCCAGTTGCCCAGCTGGGACTGGAGCCCTCTAAGGAGGGCAACACAGAATGAGATGAAGTGGGAACGGCAGTCAAAGTGCATTCCTGACCCCTTCTCAATAAGCTGTACTCTAAGAGGTAGGGGATATGACCATCCCTTCCCACCTGATTAGGGGGAAAAAAATATCAGATCTTC